TATTACCTAATAAATTTTTTATTATTTAAGCTTTGAATTTAAAATATATTTAAGAATTAAAAAATTAAAATTTCATATTTTACTCTCATTTATTTATCATTTTTATTTTATTTTTACATTTGATAATTATTAGTTAAAATTGAAGCTGAACTGATAATATTTTCAAAAGTACATTAAATTCTTTCCCAAGGATTAATAACAATAATAATAAAAATTTGTCTAATTTGTATCTTTAAAATATAAATTAAGGGTGTAAAAGATGTCAAATATGCTATATATTATTATTTTCATTCCATAAACAACCAATTACCTTTTTTTAAAGTGCCTTTTTTTTTTCCTCAAAAAGAGAAAGGGGAGGGGAATTTATCCTGAGTTGCACTCCCGAATAGATTGCAACTTTGCCAAATAATTTGCATTTTATGTATATTTTAACACTATTGATATGTAGATGACTTTAATTAGTTAATTAATTAAACAAAAATCAATATTTACAATTTCAATGAAAATTAATTATAAAAAAATACATTTATTATATCTTTAGGCATATAATAAAAAAACCCTAATAATAATAATACTAATAATAATGTAATGTACTATGCAAATTTAAAAGAAGAGACAATACTTAATTCATAGCGAAAATAAATGTACCTTACTCAAATGATTAGTGCTTTCTTCAAATGACGAAAGAAAGAATGTGCTAGTCGAAAGGCCTCTTCACTGCTTGCATGCACCAATATACCTTCTAGCCACTTCAAAAAATTTTATCACGTGTAAAGTGATTCAGTCGTTTTTTACATGATGTATGTATAAGTATAATTAATTTAATTATTAAAATATAATATAAATATATTAATTCAATCAATTTATATATGATGTGTTTTACATCATAACTGCATCTTAACATTTATTTATTTTTAATTTTATATAAAAAATAATAATATTTAATGAGTGTATTATATAATATGTTAAACTGGATGATACCAATCAATATCCAAAAATGAATTCATTAATTTTTCTTTAATTTATATCATGTACACTATAACAAATTATAACAAAATTACTTCATTAATTTTGATACAATTGAATTTATAGTGAAACAAAAACCGTTGACTCAACTAGAGATATCATATACACTATAACAAATTATAGATTGGG